TAAAAAAAATAAATCAAAGAAGAAGAAAGAGTACATGAAGTTATCAGAAAAAAAGTGATGGGGAGATATGGGAGGAGTTGGAGGGGAGAGAGTGGGCATGGATTTGATCAAAACACATTATATGCATGTATGAAATTCTCAATAAATTATTTATTTAAAAAAACTAAAACTAAATCTACCATATGATCTAATTATACCATTTCTTGGCATATACCCAAAGGACTCATCTTACTGTAGAGATACTTGTACACTTTTATTGCTGCTGATTTCACGATTACTAAGAAATGATAATAACCTAAATGTTCTTCACTTGACAAATGGATAATGAAAATATGGTGCATTTATACAGTGGAGTGGAGTTCTACTCAATGGAAAAGAAAGACAAAATCATGAAATTTGCAGATAAATGGATGGAACTAGACACTGTTATACTAAGGGAAGTTATCACAGACTCAGAAAAACAAGTGATAGAGCTTTTGTCTCAGTTGTGAATCTTAGCACCAAATTCATTGATTTGCCTGTTGCTCTTCATCTTTAGGTGGGACTCTTAAAAATTTTCTGCATCAACCTTGGCATGTCAACTGACTTTACTATTATGCAGATCTTGTTAGACTTCTTTCTTGCCAATATTTCATTGATGCAGATTCCCTATCATGTCTAGAATACATTAACTTTCAGGAAGTGTCTTACCCCTCTGGTTCTTACAATCTTTTCACCCTCTTTTCCATGATTTTCCTTGACCTTTAGGTGTAGTTTGACTTGTAGATAATCTCCTAAGGATTGACACCTCATACTCATTTATTCTCTGCATTTGACCAGGTGTGTAACTTTGTAATTGGCTGTTGCAAGAAACTTCTTTGAAGTATGGTGAGATATGGCGCGCGCTGGGCGCCCTGGCGTGGTGTGTGCGGGCATGCCTGGAGAGTCACGGTGCGGGTCCGCGGGCTTCTCCGTGTCTCTGTGGGTCTCTGCTACTGGAGTGTTGTCCAGCCATGTACCACCTTAATTTTCCCCCATGCGCTTTCCTCTTGATGCGAGATCCACTGGCCACTGAATCACGCAGGAGAGCGCGAGGCGGCTGAAGCTGGGATCTGTGAGCCGGTGACGGAGGAATGCTGCGGTCACCGGTACACAAGACTCAAGGCTCGGCTCAGTCTGTGCTTACAGCTTTATTCTCTCTGGGACCCAATCTCTGGGACTCAGTCTCTGACCCGATCTCCCACTATTAAGAGAAGGCTAGGATATTTTTATACCATGGGGGTAGTGGTAAAAGCTTTGGCTGATAGATACTTTGTGAGGCATTCTATTTGCATATGGAAGTGGATTTCTGCCATGCTGCCAGACTGCTGACTACCTGAAAAATCACACAGGAAAGCATGGTATTCCTAGAGCCAGAGGCCATGTTTATGTTATGGCATTTGTGGCGGGCACTTCAAAAGGAGAGTTAGGAAGATGCCAGGTACTCTGCTGAAAGGAGTCATCTGCATATGAAAACCGAGTCCATGGGCCACCCGGACATGGAGAGACTATGACTTTACAGCAGGGGTCCCCAATATCTCCTCCTCTTTGATTTAAATATGAAGAAGCGCCATCACCAGCCCTAAGAGCCAACTCATTTCATCTCGGGAAAATCCAAAGTTTGATAACTGACCATGACCTGTTTCCTGTAGTGATTTTAGCAAATGGCAGTAACTGTCAGCAAAGAAATCTTAAAAAACAGTGAGCAAGCATAATACACAGTATCATCAGAGGACAATAAGGAATAGAAGCCAGGCAAAACAAGGGATTGCTAAGCTAAATAGATTACAAAGTTTTGAGAGTGTTAACATTGGTTTCAACAACATCTGATTCATTTACAAAGAAACAGTATCTTCCCAATATTACATAGTCCCCATGTTTAACAATTATTAAGTCCAATATTCTTTTATTGTGAGAAAGTTCATTTGCTGTTTCAGGCTGTCAGTCACTGATGTCACAGCTCGTCGCAGCTTGTCTTCAGCTTGTTGTCATAGCAACATCTCCAGCATCCAGTACAGGTTCGGTCTCTGCCAGCAGGGGGAAGGAAGATCTTTCTCTGCTAGCAGCTGTATAGGAGAAAAAGCTTCTCACACCTGAAATGTAATAGTTAGCCAGGTGTTTGAATTCACTTCGATGAAAGTCAGTGAAATCTTTTTCTGCTCCTGGGTAGAGAAGGGTGGTAGCTGGTATTGCTGTCAGAAAAAATCTATTACTGGATGCACAAAAGAAACAGTTAGGCATTGGGGTAGGTGGGAAGAAAGTTAAACTTGTTTCAGGACATAGTCGGTCTTATTTGGTCCTCTGTCTTTCCTGTAGAATAACATTATAAGTTAACACATACTTGGCTGTGGGTTTAAGCTGTTGAGAGACATGAAAGTTAGCTGTGGGGTACCTAGAAAATGCACCTGAGTAAAATTTTGTTATTACTCCAAACATGTCAGTGATTGTCCCATGGATCTGATTTTTTCCTTGAAAAATAAAATCTCTAGAACATGGTATTAGGGAGAGTGGGGGCTGTCTGAAGCGTTGGTGCTAAGCACGGTAAAGACAGCCATGAGAATGACAGAAAAGGAAGCTCCAGGGGGACATCTGTGGCGTGCAGTTTCCACTAGGTCATGCATCTCTCTCCACGTGATCCGGTGTGGC